TGTTTCAGCAGAAACCATTCATCCGAATGCGGTTGTAACGACGCGGATTCACGAAAACACACCTATATCGAGTGAGCAATCGACTGCTGAGGTAGAGATCGCGGTGCTGTGTTCCCACCGATTTAGTTCATGAGCCCAAGTGGATGGCAAACAGTGTGTGGTGCTGTCATTTCGTGTACTGTGCTCAGTTGCCAAAAAAGTTGACAACTATGTTTTTCAGACCAAATAAGATAGTTGTAGGGGCGTAGTAATTAGCTCGAAGTGACTCTCTTATACTATCTGTCAGTGCACTGTGACTTTCGTGACTAGTACATAAACAATATGGACTGATACCTGGTTCGTGCAGGAGCGGAACACATTGACGCAGGCTGACAAGTTACAGAATGTGGGATGTGGAACAAGAGCCCGACTTGTTTGGTTGCGCTCAAAATCGTGTTGCGCAATCGCGGTCAAAAATCATTGCCATCCAACGAAACCCTTTAGCTCAATGTGAATAAACTAAGGAATTGTACTCAGAACACAGACTGCATTATTCCACTATATCAATATATCGCAGCTATTCGTTTAGAATTACCGTTTGTAACCATTTTAAATTCAGTTACCTGAATATACTCGAACTGTTTGCGCTGTGTTTTATCTATGAAATGTAAATCAGCCATTTTGAAGTTACCAATATACACAACACTTGTCCTCTGCCGATACTCAAAGTATTTCGAAAATCGGATTGGGTTGTAGGGGATACATGAAAACGTATCTACAGAGTCCCCTGGGAAACCGGTTATGCACGTTTAGTTAGAAGGTTCGAGAGACCGACCTCTGGTTAAAAACATGCATTACCGTGGGCACACTTGGCTCCAGATCGAGTATAAGATCTCGACGTGTCATTTTCATTGATTTTATTACAAGCTGGCGAGGACTTTGGAACAATATTAGAAGCAAATCACTATCCGAATTGTATTGGCAAAAGGTACTCCTTACGAAAGAAATTAGAAGATGGTGACCAATTGCATTCTGGAATGGGCGTCAGTCAAATGAATTTTCGATGCACTCATCAGCAGTGTGAATCCACTGACCCAAATGGAGATCAAACCCGGGACTTCACAGGTAGAATGCAAGCATACTAGCCACTCCGCCACCGGGCAGCTGATCAGACCGATTTTCATTTTCCATTCATACGATATAGCCCAACAGATCTTTTTCAGCTTGTTGTGAGCATCGCGCTTCACTCATCTCAGCACTGGTCTCCGGGTTATGACTCGACTGAAAAGTTTCACAGCCTGACTACTTGTTACATAATCGATCCCCAGTTATATCAGTGGATTCGCACTGCTGATGAGACCCAACCAGGTCGAAACAACTGTCCAGTGCTTCCTAGCTTTTCATTTCACATTTCATTTGCTATATACGCGACGAATTCAATTTGAGAATTGAATCAAATCTTCCATTGCTCACATGACAGACAATGAGGCGATTCACATCGGTAATTACCGTCTTAATTAGCACACGCCGCACCAACCC